TAAAAACATACATGTGCATTCTAGGGGAAAAAGGATCCTAGATCATGGGTTTTACTGTGTATGTACTTTATGGATATAAATGCACCATTGAGAAGATGGTGGTTGGATGTTTTTTTTAATTCACCTCCACAAGGCCAGAGGGGCCACTTTAGTCAAGGTGGCTACTTATTTTTTATTGTTGTTACAACCCTGCCTGAAGTTTTTTGTTTTTTTTGTTTTGTTATTCACCTCCTCAAGGCCAAGAAGGCCACTACAGACGAGGAGGCTACTTAATAGTGGTTATAACCCTCTCTCAACTCTATAACTCCGAAACACCAACCTTGACGAACAAGGCTGCTTTGCAGAGAAACAAGTTGAGCGCGGTACTAACAGGGACGCGGTGGGGATCAAACTCGGAACCTCTCGCTTATGAAGCGAGTGTTTTACCACTACACCACTACCGCATAAAATTATTATACAATATTAGTGTGGTACTACTATACTAATATTACTAGTACTAATATTACTACGGTACCGCATAAAATTAAGATACAATATTAGTGCGGTACTACTATGGATTTGGTCATAATCAAATTTGGAACAATTTAGGTATTTACAGGCTGAGGATTTTTATGCTGCAAAACAGTTCAAAGGTACTCTCGAATTCCTATTAAATGTCCACCCGCCCCCTATTCTAACTGTAAAACAAAAACTTTCAGTGTAAACAGGTTTTATAAATTGTCGACTTATTAAGTCTTGATTTGCTAAAAATGAACTTTTAGTTTATTTCTCAACAAATCTTTGGTTTTATTTATAGGATTTAATATGCTAAATATAAGTTTTATACTTTGCAATGTATTGCAACTTATATCAGGATATTAAATCCTATTGAAATTATGATAAAACAGCCTAACCCTACCCTAACAGCTGTTAGAAAATGCACTTTTGACTGCAAGTCAAATGTGCATTTGACTTGAACATGCATAATTTGCATGCTGAATAAACGGGGGGGGGGGGGGGGGCATTGAGCATGCGCTCCCCTCCCCCGTTTATTGAATTTCAGAAAAAATTCCCCCCTCCTCCTCCATATATTAACAACCCCCCTCCCCTTGTTTATTAGATTTTGACTAAAATTCCCACCCACCCGTTTATTCCCACCCTCCGTTGTATTCGTCACTCGAAAGTATGGTTGAGCATGGTCATTATAAACTTCCTGTAAAATACAGGAAGTTTATAATGACCATGGCTTATATAGAAAATACAGGCTTTTACTTGTGTTGTTTTACTGAAGTAATGAAGTATAACTCCCTATGTACTATAGTAATGAAGAATAACTCCCTATGAAAACACTTTTGCTTCAAACTTTATTAAACTTTTATTTGGTACAAAACTTAACATATTTGATGAAATGGAAAGTATTCTTTTTAACTTTAAACATTGTAATTTTAACAGATGCAACAGTTTAGAATGATTGTTAATTACAAATATTTGGAAAATAGAATAAATGAATTAAAGAAAATTTACTCTTAAAAGGCTAGAAATTAATTAACAAAATAATATTTATTTGTATTTTTCTTTTTCATATAAAATTTGATTTGGATGCTACAGAGATCGGTCCCCACTACATCCCATGTAGTAGTAAGCTAAACTTGTTTTCTTTCCACTAATTTTGCCTTGTTTTTTTTTTTTTTTTTTTTTTTTATTTAGAGTTATAGTTTGAAAGAGTATAAAAATATTTTGTACTTTTAATACTCTTTTAAAAATTAAAAAAAATATTTGGTTAATTGTTCATCAAGTTATTACGTATGAGAGGGGAAAACACATTTTTTTAAAGATGTTTTTTCACGAAAATGTTTTTGTCAAAAATATTCTCTGTACAGCAGCCATGCATATCAAAAATATGCTTCAAGAGGTGCTGCTGAAATTCATAATTAAGCCTAAGTTAAAGTTATTATTATTATTGCATTTGACCTTTTTAACACAACAACCTTGTTTGTCAAGGTGTGCATTTTGGACTTTTGAGAAGGTTAAGAAAAGTTTGTTACAATTTTGGACTTTTGAGAAGGTTCAGAAAAAGTTGTTACAATTTTGGACTTTTGAGAAGGTTGAGAACAAGTTTGTTACAGTTTTAAAACTCAACTGTAACTTTCTCTACTTTTTGGTAAGTGAATAAATATTTAAAAGATGGTGTATTGTGATGTGAAAAAGATGGCATGACCATGTTGTAGTTGCAAAGCAGTAAACAAAAGTTTTAATTCTATAGAGTAAATTTTATTTTTGACTGTAAAGGAGAACGGAAAAAAATGTTTGCGTAACAAACATTTTATTCCGTTCCATTTTTTTAAGTGGAAAAGCAAAGAGTTTATTGAAAGGAATGCAAAAAATAAAAGCAGACATCCTCAGGGTGTGATAATAACAGGTTTAATAAATGTTATTTTGTTGTTATATTCTTATTAATGCCGAAAAAAAGAAAATTTGTAAATTTTAACCTATTATTTTCTGGTGTGAACATATTCTGGTGTAAAGATTATATCTTATAACTTTTTTTTCTGGAAAAGTAATTATCAGCAATATAGTTTGAAAAGTTGGTATCATACAATATTAATTACATTTCTTATATCAATAACATTATATTCAAGATTTGATTTATAATTTCTTTTGTTTGCTATGATATGTATTTGTAAAAGCACATTATTAACTTCTTTTGTCCCCTATGATATATTAATTTCTTTGTTTCCCAAGACTATTTGTAAGAGCACTTAAAACGTGTAACATAACTGCTAGATCAAATTGTACTCATTTCTTAACAAAGTGTGTACTGATTGGTTAACAAGAAATACGTGCATTAATTGGTTAACAAGATGTATGTGTACTAATTGGCTAACAAGAAGTATATGTATCAATTATTTGATTTGATTATTTGGTTATTCAATTGGTTAATAAAATGTTACTTTTTTCACTTCAAAAACTTTGAGGTGGTACAACAAGATCTATATCCTGTAAATGAAGTGAACTAATGCATTCTAACTGTAAATGAAATGAACTAATGCATTCTAACTGTAAATGAAGTGAACTAATGCATTCTAACTGTAAATGAAGTGAACTAATGTATTCTAACTGTAAATGAAGTGAACTAATGCATTCTAACTGTAAATGAAGTGAACTAATGCATTCTAACTGTAAATGAAGTGAACTAATGTATTCAAACTGTAAATGAAGTGAACTAATGCATTCTAACTAATATGCAAAAAGTAAGAACAGCGTCAAGATTGTGGATATCAATCCTCTGATCAATCAGCTCTTTGTATTAATCTTTGTTTTAGATTTTACTACCAAAACCTGAGACATGCACTAATGAATTTGAGCGATGCAGATGATAAATAATATTTATATATAAATATAAACTTTAAGTTCATTATTTTTCCAAAAAGGTATTGAAAATATACCTTTGGTATGTTTATTTACCATAACTTGTCCTTAAAACCACAAAAATTGTCAATTTTGTTAAAAATCAAAGATAAAGTAATATTAACAAATAAATGTTCACATGTGAAAATTTACATAATGTAAGTTTGTTTTAAGATTGAAGAATGATTTTAGGCAATAAAGTCTTCAGAATGATAAATTAATAGAGTTTAAAGTCATGCAAGTAAAATTGTAGTTTGTATGCTAGGATAGTTTTCTTTAACAAGTATACTTGTTTTTGGTACGCAACATGTAAATAACATGTAAATACTTGCTTTTGGTACCCAACATGTAATTAAGTGTTTTTTTAAATGCACTGAAATTTTATATATAAAAAAAATTTGTTTGTTAATATAAATAATAAATTAATAAAATAAATAATAAAAAATAAAAAAATTTGTTAATATAAATAATAACATATTACTTTATATAGTATAATATTGCTTCAATGTAGAAGTTCTACAATGTAGAAGTTCTAAACTGCTTCTTTAGTTGTTGAAACCAGTTTTGTTTGTTATTAATTAAATTATTAATTTATTAAAAATTTAAACTCATTTGCAATTTTGTATGCTAATCTGATGCTCATCCTTTTTAATTATAACTCTTTAGTTATATTTAAATAATACGATTAAATGATACTTTTTAATTATAACTCTTTAGTTGTATTCAAATTATACTATAATCCAATATTTTTTAGTTATAACATTCTAACCCTATGTAAGAATTTTGTTCTTTTTTAACATATTCTGTTCCATAACTGTACCTTTTTACCATATGATCTTATTCTATACCATAATCCTATACTAAAGTTACGACTAAAAGGATCTCTCGTAGTTATTATAGATAATTAAAAATAATAAATATGTCTGCTAGTATTACAATCAACAATCCTGTATTTCAAACAAGAAAATACCTTATAATTAAAATTTTAACTGTCTCCTAGAGTGAGTGTTCGATCATACTGTGCTGCATTAATACCATGTCTTTCTCCAAAAAATATTTGTGACTGTCCTCAAATTTTGCAAAGAATATAAGGGTTAGAAGTTAAAATTTTGCAATGTGTCAATGTTCAATGTTCACCAGCCACTAAACTCGCACTTCAATCCCCATTATATTGTGCCTTCTTTTAAGTCATGTCCAGTAATTACAATTTAATCACTGCCAAGGGTTGTGCTTGTTTAAAATTTTAAAGAAAAGCATGTCTCAAATTAGAAACTTCTCACCATTAATTTTCTTGCCCGGTGGCCCCCGGTTTTAACTCCATCCAAAACTGTAATGTTAAACTGAAAGCAAAAGTTTCTAAACAGACTACAATCTCACTAGTAAATCTGTAAAAAGTCGTAATTAAAGCATGGCATGGTATTTATAGCTTTATGGTTTTCATGATTTATCAATATTTCGTTTTGTCATGATAAATTTCATATATATTTTTAATATTATATTTTTAAATATTATACTTTTTTTATACTATAATAAATATTTTTATTTAATGAACTTTTTTTCTATATTATATTATATTTTTATATATTATACTTTTTTATTTAAACTTTTTTTAGGCAATATCTAGGTTATGCGACGAAAAGCAGTTTCCAACAACGAAAAGGGTTTATCGTTCAAATAGCGTTGATGACATGAAATCTAAACGTAGAAGTATTGCTGTTCTTTCCTAGCTCACTGAATTTATAGTTCTTTCCTAGCTCACTGAATTAGTTTTTATAAAATTTTAATAAAAAGCAACAGGTTTTTTTTTTTTTTTAATTTATCTAATAAGATATTTTGAATTTTTTCTATTGTAAATATATTCGGTGTTTATTTTACTAGATATATTCATTTAATAAAAGTTTCTAGTTTATTCATAACATAAAAAAAGTTGTTGCTATAAAAAACGTAATATTTTAATCGTTTTTTTTCTCAAAAATTATATAGGTTTTTATAAATATTTTTAGATTAATTGTAAATGTAAAACTCTCTGAATAATACAGTTCACGACGTAAATTCCCATTTAAAAGAATTCTTAGATAATAGATAAATAGATAAAACTGCAAGTAGAAAAAAAAGTTAAGTTTTCTTCACTAATATCAGTAAAAAAAATATTAAGCAATTTTTAGATTCCTAGTCTTCGTTTGGTTTATTATTTTATTTAATTCAGTATATGACTAGAATATAATAAAAATTCCATTTAAAACAAAATAAACAATAGTGTAAATTATAATAAAACCATTAAAAATTAAAAAAAACTTATAAAATAAGATAAATGTTAAACAAGGTAGCTCTCATAAATGCTGGTTTATTTAACAGTGCTATGTTGCGCATTACGGTGTACCAAAAAATATATATATATCTCTCAATGTTTTCCCATTCTCTAAGGTCCAAATAGGCTAAAAAAAAGCAAAAAAACTATTTTTGCTTTTGTAAAAGTGATAGCTGTAAAATTTCATTTTTTTTTAAAAAAAAAAACAATTTTTACAAAAAAAAACTATGTATTTTAGTAACTCTCTTAAAAATATATATTTTACCTTTAAAAATTAAACGTTTACGAGTTGCTTCTTTGTTAGTTCTTTCTTTAATTTTTTTCTGTTGTCTCTAGCAACAAACACGAGATTCTGTTTTATGTCATCCGAACTGTAGCCTCCTGGATTAGTCGGATATTTCTTTCAGCGCAGTCATTAATACATTCAATCAGCGCAGTCATTAATACATTCAATCAGCGCAGTCATTAATACATTCAATCAGCGCAGTCATTAATACATTCAATCAGCGCAGTCATTAATACATTCAATCAGCGCAGTCATTAATACATTCAATCAGCGCAGTCAATACATTCAATCAGCGCGGTCAATACATTCAATCGATTTCAAAAACCTCTTAATCAGATCAAATGTTTCACTGGCATCTCCCTTGAGCCACTTCTCCCTTGAGCCACTTCTCCCTTGAGCCACTTCTCCGCCTCTCAAAACGGAATACCTGCCTCCTTGAAATATAAGATGTTTATCTCAAACATGTGTCGTCTGTAGAGAATGTTGAGGATGGTAATGGCTCCAGCAAATAATCCAGTATTGTAAGGAGTAGTGTCACAGCATATGGCTAAGATTTGATCAATAATATTGTAATACTCTAGGAGATTTAAGATTAAATCTGCCTGATCAACTCCCTTAGAACTTTGAGCTTGAACTACTCCAAGGAGAATGTCATTTGTGTCGTTAATATCTGGTAGTGTAACACTAACAGAAATCCTTTCAACAGTAACAGTAATATTTAGATTATCCTCCATCTCTTATTTTTTTGCTGTCGAAGTGCAGGACAAGTCTCTTTCGCTTCAATGTTTCAATTTTATCTTGCCATATCTGGTCTTCTAATAATCAAAATAGCTTTATTACCAATTTAATTAAATTTTTATTAATCCTATTATTTATTTAAACTAGTTAGGCCTTCAACCATCTTAAACCTCTTTCGATGAACAGAGCTTTTGATGAAAAAAGCTTTTGATGAACAGAGCTTTCGATGAACAGAGCTTTCGATGAACAGAGCTTTTGATGAACAGAGCTTTTGATGAACAGAGCTTTTGATGAACAGAGCTTTTGATGAACAGAGCTTTTGATGAACAGAGCTTTTGATGAACAGAGCTTTTTGAGGCACAATCTCAAGATTCACGCCTGCTTTATTGAATATTGCTGCAATGGTTGCGGTTTGAGGTCGGATTCCAACTCTATACCAAGCAGATACCACAGTACAATCCACTAGATCCTCAAGACTATTATTTATCATTATCTATATATTAAATACAAGTGATATTTCTAATCTAATTGAATACAGTTAAATTTAGTTTACTCAAATGTTATACAAATAACTTTAGATTTTATAATAATTTTTGATTTACCATGGCTTTTACTGCAGCATTTTATTTACCATGGCTTTTACTGTCGATGAATTATTTCAAAACCAAAGTTTTGAAATAACTCATCGACATTATCTTCATCTGTGAAATCAATCCATCAACCAATATATATTTCGTCAATGAACAAAAAAGAAGGAAAATTTTACAATGTACTTGTAAAATAAAAATAAAATAAAATATATTTTTTAAATTCTGACAGGAGCAAGCAGAAGACAATACATCTTATCATCTTGCCCCTTTGATAGTAAAATAGTTAACTTTATTTACATGATTAAGTTCGTAAAATCTATAACTATAAAATTAGTTTATTATAAAATTACATATTTTTGAGTTAAATATACATACTCGTATTAGTAAATACATAAAAATACGACTTAAAAATACAAAAAAATATTTTTATTGGTTAGATTTAACAAATGTTGTTTCACAGTTTTTTTTAAATGCTTTAATTGAGGCTATAGATTTTATGTCATTATTCAGGATTGAGTTCCACAGACGTGGACCCCGAAAAGTAATAGAGACCCCGACAAGTAATAGAGACCCCGACAAGTAATAGAGTAGTCCGATTTTTTAAGAGTTGTTGGTATGTAAAAATTGTCAATAGAATATCTTGTTAAGTATCTGTGATTAATTAAAGAGAAATGTGGCTGAAAATATGATGGAAGCGTGTTATTGTGAAGTTTAAACATAAACAATAAATTTTGATAAATGTTTAGTTCGAATACATTCAGAGCTTTAATTTCTTTGAGTAAAGGCTTGGCGTGTGCATATCTGTCTGCATTAAAAATTAACCGAGTCGCTTGTTTTTGTTTGCTATAAATTTTTTTTAATAAAGGCCTTCGATAGATCTACAAAAACTCCCAGTGTATAGTTGTTGTCATCAAAGTCTTTCAAAATAGTGTTAGTCAAATCAACTATCGCATGCTCAGTGCAATGGTTTTTTCTAAATCCAAATTGTTTATAAGCTTTGAAAAACAGGAAAGTATTGAGATAGGCCTGTAGTTGGTTTCTATTGAATCATCGCCATTTTTATGAATTGAAATTATTTTCGCAAATTTTAATTGATCAGAAAAGACTCCATTTTTTAAAGAAAGATTAAATATAACGAAAAGTGGTGACTCTATAATATCATAGACTGCTTTCACAACCTTCCATAACAGAAACAGATTTTTTCAAAAAAAACTTAAATGATTTGTTACTTGGAGAGATTTCACTGGCTAATTTGTTCCCAATGTTTATAAAAAAAATTAAGTTTCCCAGCAATTTTTTTATTATCAAAAATCTCAACATTATCCTCTGTTTGAAGTCGTTTGGGAATGTTGTTAAATTTAGTTTTTTTTTTACCAATTATTTCATTTATTATAGCCCAAGTCTTTTTAGGATTTCCTAACGCTTTATACAGTAAACTCGAATAGAAATTTTTTTTTGATTGCTTTTTTAATTTTTTGAAATATTTCTTGCAATTTTTATATTTCGTTTCGTTATTAAAGGTTAGTTTTTTTAAAAATTTTTCGTAGAGTTTTTGTTTTTTCTTTGATGATTTTAAAAGTCCTTTCGTCATCCAGGGGTTATGCACATTTTTAGATTTTATAGTTTTTTTAATTTTAGGGAAAGCTTTGTTATATTGTTTAGTAAATACACGGATAAAAAAATCATATGCCTCACATGCATCATTACAATCTTTCAACAGTTCTCAATTGATTTCTTGCAAAAGTTTTCGAAAATGTAAAATTGAGTCATCGTTAACTTGCCTTATATATACTGTTAAGGATTTTTTTTTTATACAGCTTTCAGCATTTATTGTTAAAAAAATAGGGAAATGGTCACTAATATCTGTTTTTATGATACCACTCTTTAATTTCGAGTTTCTGAAGTTATTAGTAATAATATTATCTATGACAGATGATGTTTTATGAGTAACACGTGATGATTTGTTGATCGCGGGTAAAGCATTAAATTGAGAAAGGGTATTTATAAAGCTTTTAACGTTATTATCTTTGTTAAAATTCGTTAGATTTAAATTAAAATCTCCAAGTAAGTAAATATTTTTTTTCCAGTTTGAATAAATATTTTCTTTAAGTGGTTTTCAAATTGTTTATAATTGCCGTTTGGTAGTCGATATACAGCTGTTACAAATGCATTTTTTTCTTTGAGATTAACTCTATTGATAACGATTCGCAATGTGAGTGGTTAACTTTTAAGTTATCGATTATTTTGTACGTAAAGGAATTGTGTATAAATATGCATATGCCACCACCAATACCATCAATACTCGGATGCAGATGAGTTGATATCAGAATCATATGAAACCTCATTAGGAACCCTTTTCTTTTTATCTTTTTCCGCTGTTGTAATCTTCGTATACTTCATTCTCTGCCAACAATCCTGCCTGTTTTTAATAGATGCTTCAAATTCTTTGTCTATTTCTGTAGTTATGTACGTTTTTCGATCCTTATTCTGGTCTAAAAAAAAAATTGAATGTCTTCCGCCTTGGCATCGTGGGTGCGAAGACAATCTGATTGGATTTTTTCCTCAAATCTCGCTACAGATATATCGAAGAGTTTGGTGCTCTCCTGAATGAACTCTTTCTGGATCTTAGTAAATCTACCAGTTCTGGAATCCCAGTTTAGTTCTCTCAAATGGATTAGCTTCCAATACTTAGTATGGAGTTTCAAAATATTATCCCTTAATGATATAAAAAATCATTATATAAAGTTTCATTTCAAGGTATGGTTTCATTTCATTTCAAGGTATGGTTACTTTTTATAAATCTTTCTGGATCTTAGTAAATCTACCAGTTCTGGAATCCCAGTTTAGTTCTCTCAAATGGATTAGCTTCCAATACTTAGTATGGAGTTTCAAAATATTATCCCTTAATGATATAAAAAATCATTATATAAAGTTTCATTTCAAGGTATGGTTTCATTTCATTTCAAGGTATGGTTACTTTTTATAAATAATATTAATATTTGTTGATTATATTTTATTTATATTAAATTAAAAATGGCATTATTTCTTACCTGACAGCAGCTCAAGAAAGGATAGGCTCTCCGAAACCAGCTTTGTATCACACATATTAATATTTGTTGATTATATTTTATTTATATTAAATTAAAAATGGCATTATTTCTTACCTGACAGCAGCTCAAGAAAGGATAGGCTCTCCGAAACCAGCTTTGTATCACACATCCATTACAAGAGCAGTAACACAATTGTGGTTGTGATTTCTACATAGTCCACCCTTGAAAATAAGATCTTAGCCTGAAAACGTTTGAGAACAAGCTACAATTAGCTTATTAGATTTAAATTTCAAAGACCTTGGAGGTTTGATAAACTGTATGTATCTAAGAACATTTTCAATGCTGGAAAGCTGGTTTATAGGTAACTGGTTGATAAGATACTTGAAAAGAAACAGTAGCCTTCTGAGATTGGTCTGTATTTTTCTCTTTTCTCCTTTATTTGTATATTTTGTGCGAGAACGACTCATATTACAAAATAATGTGAAATCTTAAATCAAATAACATACATGAGTAAATTTAATCACCTTAAAAATTTAAAAAACATGTAACCCAAACCGAATAATTAAATTTATCTTTTTAATTTTTTTGAAAACAATTTCATAAGTAAATATGCTAATCGCATTGTGCTCAAAAATATGCATATTTAGAGTAAGGTTGAACAATAGTAAAAACATAACATGCCAAGTAGCCGATGATGGTCAATTAAAAAGATAAATTTAATTATTTGGTTTTGGATTATTGTTTTGTAAGCATATACAAGACTATCATACATTGGTTGTTGGTATTTGAGGAAAAATGTGACGTGTAGGCAGGGCCGCCAAAAGGATGGGGGGGGGGCAATTAAAATAGTTTGCCACGGGCATCACAGTCTATGGGGCACACATGCCTTAAAAGAAAAATATTGAAATGATAAAAAATTTAGCTGATAACGTATTTAAAGATTAAGCAATTTTTGTGTATTAATTTCTTTCTCCTTTTAAACTTTGTTTGCATTTAAAATAGGATAGTTATTACTTTACAAAGTTTTCATTATCCATTTAAACGCACGCGTTTTCATTGGCCTTTTGTTCGCATGATAGAATAAAAAGCGTTAAAAAAAAATTTTCTTATTTAACGTTTGTAAAAGCCTAACTTCTAATAGTTTAACTTATTTTTGCTTAAACCTTGCGTCCCTGTGGATACTTTTGTGCATATGTATGTTTTTGACTCGCCTGCATTTTGTTCCGACTAGATTTTGACAAGAAACTTATCTTCAGTGGATATTTTAATTGTAAGTACTGACTTTTTCTCTGCAATTAATAACACCAAAGTATTATAAAGTTTTTAATTTTTAAAATTTAAAAAGTTAAAATCCTTTATATCGTCATAAGTTTTAGCATGAATAATCAAAGACCTCCACGATTAAACCAGTTGTCTGGAGCTGCTGGGAGAAAAAGAGCGATGATTCGGAAAAAAACCGAAAGCAAAAACAAACGAACGCTTTTAGATTGCGTTCGTTGGACAAAAATTGAAGATAAATGCAAGGTAGTTAAACTATTTTTAAAGCTTGTGACGCTCATGAAAAAATAATTAGAATAATTCTGTTTAATACTTCTTTATAGTTCAATGATATTGAGATCGGTATCAATGACTCTAATGAGTTGCTAGACCATAATTCTGACAAACTTTTTCTCGCCGATGACATCGATGACTCCAAAAAACATCATCATATTTAAAAAAGGATCAGTTGGATTTTGTACTTGATTGTCACAATGACCAACAAATTTATAAAAGTGATCTTTCTATACCAATCTCTAACGATCCTGCACTATGGAAATCAATATCAGACACTGATCGAACGAATATAATTCTGATGGGACCTTCTTCAAATCCTAGCAATTTTTCAAGAGATCATAAAGAACGCAAATTCCCTTTATCTTTATACAGGAACAAAGAAACAGAGAAAAAGTTAGAAGAGATTGGCTAGTTTGGAGTAAGGCTGTGGCATCACTCTTTTGTTTCCCTTGCTCCCTTTTTAGATCGCCTAACTTAACCAGACCCGGTGTTCAATCCAGTTTGTTGTCTTGGAATGGAGGTATACATGGAAATTGGAGAAAACTTTCAGATCGCGTTAAAAGTCATCAACAAAGCGATTTTCATCGTGATTGATCTCCAATGGAAAACAGCTACGATTCACTTGAAAAGTCAAAAGTCCATTGAGCATCAGTTAGAAATCAAATTGGAGATGAAACAGATGCGAATGGAAAGTAATTTTACAATGCATTCTTGACGTCACAATTTTTCTAGCTTCAAGAAACTTAGCTTTTAGGGGTAAGAATATTGTTTTTAAATTTTAAATTATATTTTGCATTATTTTATTTGTAATTTAAAAATCAAAATTACAAGTTTTAATTGGATATAAATATGGATTACTATTTTGATTATTTTTTGTTTGTAATTAGGATCCAATCAAAAGTTGTTCAAGAATGGGAATGGAAACTTCCTTGGAGCGCTCGAATTAATTGCTCGCCACAATAAAACATTAAAAGATCATATGCATCTTATTGCTAAGCACCAAGAAGAAGAAAAACGCATGCAAGCTCATTATTTATCCTGGAAATCACAAAATGAATTTATCAAGGAATGCGGCAAATTAGTGGTTCGAGAAGTTATTCGAGATATCAAAAAATCAATATGTTTCACCATCATCACGGACAGCACTCCTGATTCGTCCCACAGCGAGCAAATAACTTTTGTTTTTCGTTTTTTGCATTTCAATGATAATCAGCTGTGGGAGGTCAAAGAAAGGTTTCTTAAGCTAGAAGAACTTGAAAAGAAGAAGGGATCTGATATCACAAAGTTGATATTAAATGTGTTGGAAGAGAATGAGCTCGACATAAAAAATTGTCGTGGTCAAGGCTACGACAACGGCGCTAATATGGCAGGTATTTACAATGGAGTTCAAGCTTTGATAAGACAGAATAATCCACAAGCAATTTTCATTCCTTGCTCTGCTCACAGTTTGAACTTATGTGCAGTACACGCTATTGAATCATTGGCTCCTGCAAAATCCTATTTTGGAAATATTCAAAAGTTATAAAATCTGTTCTGCAGCAGCCCATTTCGTTGGAAAATTCTTCAGGAGGAGACAGGCCAATCATTACATAAACTTTCTGTTACACGATGGAGTTCAAGGATTGAATCAGTTAAGCCACTAGCAAAAAAGCCAAGAGAGATCTTTAAATCATTACATCGTCTAAAAGAGTTAGACCTTCCAGGCGAAAGTAGTAATGAAGTACATTATTTCATTAAATGGATGAATTCTTTTGAATTTGTTGTTTTCACTACTTTTTGGTTTAAATGTTTGATGGCAGTTAACAACATGAGTCTTCTGCTTCAATCCACTCAACTCACTTTCGATGATGAAGTAAAAATTCTAAATGGCCTTTTGATGGATCTGGATCGAATCCGTCTGTCTTGGGACCTGATTTTGATAGAGGCAACAGAAGTTGCAAAGAACTTGAAATTTGATAAAATGTTTACTGTGAAGAGAACGCGAAAAAAGATCATCCCAGATGAAACTGCTGGTTACAACCACAAAGAAGCATCAAAAAACTTCAAGTGTAATGTCTTCAATGTTGCGCTCGACAATCTGACTAGTCAAATGAGATCAAGATTTAAAGTAATAGAAGAGGAATGTAGCAAGTTTTCCTTCCTTTGGTCTTTACAGAAATCTCAAGCAGACCAAGAACTAGGTTTAAAAGCTGAGAATCTGGCTAAACTTTACCCAGAAGACTTATGTAAAAACGAATTTTCTGATGAAGTTCGGCATTTTTTTTCCGTAAGAAGAAATATTCTAGCCAGCGAAAAGCCTGTCGAACTTCTAAATGAAGTTTATTCAAAGGGGCTGCATTCAATATTTCCGCAAGTCTGGTGTTTCTCTTAGAATCTTTCTAACATTGCCCGTTTCAACATCTGAAGGAGAAAGATCTTTCAGCAAGTTAGCTATCATCAAAGATTATCTTCGTTCCACAATGGGCCAGGAGCGATTGTGCTACTTGATGATCCTTTCACTCGAATCAGATTTAGCCATTAACGTTAATTATGAAGAAGTTATTTCAAATTTTGCTGCTAAGAAGGCCCGGAAGATGTGTTTGTCAATTAAGAATTAATTTTATCATAGTTTGTTTTTGCAAACCAAAATTAAATGTGATTTTAGGTTTTTTATGAAAGTAAACTATACTAATTTATTTGCTATTTTAAGACCTGAAGTATGATAGGGCATCCATTAAATTTTTGGACCCGGGCATCACAAAAGCTCTGGGCGGGCCTGCGTGTAGGAATTCTTAAAAGTAACTTTTGACTTTTTTACAAAAAAACACGTTTTCGTAAGCTTAAGTACATTTTTGAATCTGCTTATTCAACATTTTGAATGTTTCAAAAATATGCTTATAAAAACAAATGTATCAGGCTAATAATAATTTTATTCAACCTAGGCATCGTTATCGACTTTATTAAAAATAAAATAAAAGATAAAAATAAATTTGTCTACATTTTAATTCAACATTGATGTAACGGACTTTTTTTTTTTTTTTTTTTTTTGTATGTATTTAAGTGCTCCCAGAAGTCCTTACGGTCTTATCATAGAGCACCGCGGGTGAGCATTTAACAGGAAGTTCACGCCTCCTTCCGTACCAATGTCGCTTGTTGGGCTAGAGCTGGCGTTGAACCTCGGACCTCTGGGTTCTGAGCCAGAACTCTAACAACTGCGCCACGGCTGCTCGTTTATTTTTGAAAAAATCAAATTTTTCGAATTTTACAGCTATCACTTTCTGGCAATGAATTTTTTTTTCTTTTGATTTTTAGCCTCAGTGGACTTCAAAGAATGGGAAAACGTTGAGAGGTATCCTCGAGGGAAAAAAAAGTTCGTTTTTGGTACACCCTATTGCGCATGGATAGTGCTTTTAAGTGCTTTTGGTGTGCATTGTCTAGACCACATAATAAGCCCGAAGAGCCTTTGTAATATAAAAAAAAACATTTTTAATTTTGCTAGAAATCAATGTAAAAGGGTGCTGTTTGATTTTGAACTCCATTATTCCCAGTTTACAAAATCTCATATTTTATCTTAGAAATAAGGTCTCAGAGACTTTTAAAAAATTCGAACATTCTCCAATACATGTGTCTGATATTATTGCCTCTCCCAAGGATGTAATAAAACTATTCGCAAAGAACTTTTCCTTTAACTTGACTCTTGAATCTAATGGCCCTACTCTTTCTGCCACTCTAGTGAAAAAGGTTAATCGATTGTTAGACATCTAAATCATTCCGACTGTCATCGCTAAAGTCATTTCTTAACTAAACTGTTGTCTGATTTGTGGTTCAGACAAAATTCCCGTCACAGCCCTAAAAAAGTGTTTACTTTAGTCTAGAACTTTTTTTAATTCTAATTAAACTATTTAATAATTGCTTAGCTGAACCTTGTTTTCATAACTTGAAAACAAGGTTCAGCAAAGCAATTATTAAATAGTTATTATATAGCTAGAAAATGGCATTTGTGGATTAAATTTTAAAATATTACAAAGAACACTCTGAGATTTCTAACAATCGTCCAATCTTAAGTCTGATAACTTGTTCTCTGACATTCAATACAGATTTCAATGTTCTCGTTCTATGGCTGGCTCCCTACTGCTATAATTTAAAGATTCTATCGTGCATTAGATGAAGGCAGTAAGTAATAGCTTGAGGTTTACATCGGTTTGTGAATTTTAACTCTAACAATACTCAGTTTACTGCAAACAATAATTGCGATGTTGTCAATATCCCTTTATTGATAAATGGAAACCCTCTCATCGAGTCCTGTTATTTACGTCTTTTTGGATTATCACTTACAACTGCCAAACCATACAATCCATTGCAAAGTTAACTGCAATGGATTGTATGGTTTGGCTAATCTGGTAACTTCGCTTCTCTTACCATTTTTTCACTCCTGATTCTGTTCTCTACTTCTGCAAATCTGTTATTCGTCCCTGTATGAAACATTGTTATCATATTTATCTGATTCTTATAATGCAACTTCTGTTCTAAACAAGGTCGAAAAGCACATTGCAGTTGGACCAGGTTTATCTGTCAGGTTTAAGCCACTCTCCCACTGTATCTGTCTTATTATGATCAAAAAAAAATTTTTTTTCCCCCCGCATTTTAACGCTTTGGAACGCTCTCCCATCTTCATGCTTTCTCGACTTGTACAACTTAAAATTTTTATAGTCTTCTCCCTTTGCTCTTTATTTCTATTATTTGTTTTATACTAACTACCAGCTTAATAGTGGTTGTTTGCAGCCTTGTAAGGAGTGAATTAGTATAAAAAAAGAAACAAAAAAGAAACGGCTAAACATTAAACCCTAGCCGTTAAATCAGAAGCTTTATAAAGATCATTTATATATATATATATATTAAAAATAAAAGTGGCCCAAGTACGGATCCTTGGGGAACACCACATATTATATTCGTTAATAATTGCGACGAAGATTCCTTGTTATAAACAAATCATTTACGGTTACTGAGATAACTTTTGAATCAATTAAGGGTTTTATCTCTTATACCATTTCAATAAAATATGGTGATTAATCACATTTAAAAATGCACTTTCCGACACATTTTTTTTTTTTTTGATATTTGGTTTAGGGTGCCCAAAAAGACTTAACTGTCTTGTCACAGATACATATATATATATATATATATATATATATATATATATATATATATATATATATATATATATATATATATATATATATATATATATATATATATATATATATATATATATATATACCCAGCGGGCATTTTGACGTCCTAAGGACGTCCGTTAGACGTCTTAAGTCTCGTCCGTAAGACATCCTTAGTTGGTCTCAAATGAAAGGCTTGAGGACGTCCATTCCGGACGTCCTAAAGACGTTTTTTAAAGACGTTCTAGATATATAGACGTTATAAATAGAAGAAAATTGCTTAAAAAAGGAAAAAAAATACAACAGTTAATTAAGCCAACATGATCGAAATCCATATTAGTCGATGTTTTCTTTATTCGGTCAGAAGAATGCCTAACTACTCTCCCAATAAGATGGATAGCATCCATTTTGGTTAAATTTTTATTTGACTTTAAAGCAGCTTCTAATAAAAACAACAAAACATGTTTCAATAAAATCATAAAATAAAATATATATGTCATACTTGAATACATGTCATGTTCCAGAGCCAAAAAACTTTTTTTTTTTTTTTTTTAAAACATTTTTAATTTTTAATTAATCAAACACATTAATAAGCTAATAAGAATACCAGTGACAGCGTTACATAGACTTGTCAACTCTTTAAACTTTTTTTTCTTCTTTAGACAATTCATGCTGTATTCTGACAAAATAGTGTCTGTTGGCAGTCTACATATATAAAAAAGAAGATAAATGCTCTACTGTCAATCATAAATGTTAAAACTCAAACTTTTGCTAATTACTTACAAGAGCAAAATATTTTTAATTGTATCAGCTAGATTTTTATCGCCAATTAATGATAACTGTTTTATCTAAAAAGAAACAATGTATAAGAAACATTGAAAATGTTTATGACAATTTAAAATAAATATTGTAATAATATATATCATACAAACTTTAAAGATGAAACTCATGTATACAAAAGTGATGTATTGGATATCTCTATTTGCAAATTTTTTTTTTCAAAACATTAAGTTTATCTGAACTTTTACGTTGTTTAAAACCTTCTTCTGGATTATTAGAGAACAGTGCAGTTCTATCTACTAAAATTTTTTTTCATTTCAGCAAGTTAGAATATAAATTTTTTCTGAAACTTTGAAAAATAAAATATATAAGTAAAGCCATATAAATAGTATATAAAGTAGTAAATAGTAATTCCTATATATGGTTGAGAAGAGGTAGATTTAAACTGAATAATGCTTAACCTTATAAGAATATATATGTATATATATATATATATATATATATATATATATATATATATATATATATATATATATATATATATACATATATATATATATATATATATATATATATATATATATATATATATATATATATATATATATATGTATATATATATATATATATATATTGATATATATATATACATATATATATATATATATATATATATATATATATATATATATACATACATATATATATATATATATATATATATATATATATATATATATATATATATATATATGTATGTATATATATATATATATATATATATATATATATATATATATATATGTATATATATATATATATATATATTGATATATATATATACATATATATATATATATATATATATATATATATATATATATATATATATATATATATATATATATATATATATATATATATAATGAATATGTATGCATCATATAAACATTAATGTATAAATCATGTATATATAAATAATAATACATCAAATTAAATTAAACCACACAGTAACTTGGTGTCAACATAAGAAATAATCTTAATAATTATTTATACAACCAGAGATGGAAAGATCATAAAATTGAACGAAACAACACAGGAAGAACAAAATATATACAATTTATTTATTCATTTACCTATTTCTACAGCAAAGATATTACAAATCTTAGCATATATATATATATATATATATATATATATATATATATATATATATATATATATATATATATATATATATATATATATATATATATACATATATTATAATATAGATATATATACATATATTATATATAGATATTACAAATCTTAGCATATATATATATATATATATATATATATATATATATATATATATATATATATATATAAACGTTCTAAAGACATTTTTTTGCAGATGTTTTAGAGATGTCTCTGACTGGTGTCATATGAATGACTTAAGGACGTCTTATTCAGACGTCCTAGAGACGTCTGAATATTACCAAGACATTCTTTTAAAAGTTATATAAAAATGCAATAAATTACAACACACACCTTAGATTTTCCTTAATTTAGGCAAGGGAAGTTATAAAAAGAAATCTAAGTAAATAAAGTGTAATTTGATATATTTAAAATAAATTAATTACTTTACAAAAAATAAGAATAATTTTTCAAATAAAATTACCCTTTCCAAATTAAAAACTATTAGGTACTGTAGAATATAATCGATAGTGCATTATAAATAGAAGAAAATTGCTGAAAAATGGAAAATAAATAAAAAAAATACAACAGCTAATTAAGCCGATCATTGATTGATATTCATATTAGTGGATGTTTTCTTTAATCGGTCAGAAGAATTCCTAATTACTCTCCCAATAAGTTGGATGGATGGCATCCATTTTGTTTTTATTTGACTTTAAAGCAGTTTCTAATAAAAACAACAAGACATATTTCAATAAGATCATAAAATAAAATATACTTGAATACATGTCAGGTTCCATAGCCAAAGAATAAAAAAATATATATATTTTATTAAAACATCATTTTTAATTTTAAAAGTTATTCAAACACATTAATAAGCAAATAAGAATACCAGCATTACATAGACTTGTCAATTCTTTAAACTTTTTTTTCTTCTTTAGACCATTCATGCTGTATTCGGACAAAATAGTGTCTGTTGGTAGTCTACATATATAAAAAAGATGATAAATAATGTACGGTCAATCATAAATGTTAAAATTCAAACTTTTGCTAATTACTTACAAGAGCAAAATATTTTTAACTGTATCTACTCGATTTTTTACCGCTAATTAATGATAACTGTTTTACCTAAAAAGAAACAATGTGAAAGAAACATTGAAAATGTTTATGACAATTTAAAAGAATTATTGTAACAATATATAACATATAAACTATAAAGATAAAACTGACTAATACAAAAGCGATGTATTAGATATCTATATTTGCAATTTTTCTTTTCAAAACATTAAGTTTATCTGAAATTTTACGTTGTGTAAAACCTTCTTCTGGATCATTAGAAAACTGTGCAGTTATATCTACTAAAATGTTGTTAATTTCCGCAAATTGGAATATAACTTTTTTTTGAAACTCTGAAAAGTAAAATATATAAGTGAAGCAATATAAACAGTACATAAAATAGTAAATAGTACTTCTTATATATGGTTGAAAAGAGGTAGATTTAAAATTAATAATGCAAAAAATTTCAAATTTCATGCTTAACCTTAAAAAAATATATAAACAAGTAAAGTTCAAGAAAATAATAAGATTTTTGTCTAACGCTAAAAACTGTAAAGAATCGCTACTTTATATATATATATCTATATCTATATCTATATATATATATCTATATATATATATCTATATATATATATATATATATATATATATATATATATATATATATATATATATATATATATATATATATATATATATATATATATATATATATATATATATATATATATATATATATATATATATATATATATATATATATATATATATATATATATATATATATATATATATATATATATATTAGGGTGGTGCTTAAAACAACTTTTTTGAGAAAAACCTGCTGGTACCCCCCTAAATGTGTTTTATCTAATACAAAAACACTAGGTTTAAAATTTTTTTGAACAAAAATTATTTTTAGGGGTAGCTCAAGGCCCTCAAAAATTTGACGGGTCCCTAATATTTTGAAAAAAAAAACTTTTTCTAAAGTATGTCAACCTGGTACTCAAAAGAAGCAATATTATATAAAAACTTCAAAAATAATAATCATTTTACATAAAAAACATGCCTAAAAAAAATTATTCTCAAAAAACCCGAAAATATTGACTTTTTTAATTTTCAGCTTAAAAACAATAGTTTTTATGCATTTATACCTGAAAAAATTATTTTTATAAAAAATTATTTTCATTTTTAAATTTTTTATATAATTTTGCTTATTTTGAGTACCAGGTTGACATACTTTAGAAAAAGTTTTTTTTTCAAAATATTAGGGACCCGTCAAATTTTTGAGGGCTTTGAGCTACCCCTAAAAATATTTTTTGTTCAAAAAAATTTTAAACCTAGTGTTTTTGTATTAGATAAAACACATTTAGGGGGGTACCAGCAGGTTTTTCTCAAAAAAGTTGTTTTAAGCACCACCCTAATATATATATATATATATATATATATATATATATATATATATATATATATATATATATATATATATATACCTGTATATACATATATATATATATATATATATATATATATATATATATATATATATATATATATATATATATATATATATATATGTATATATATATACATATATATATATGTATATATATATACATATATATATACATATATATATACATATATATATATATATATATATATATATATATATATATATATATATATATATATATATATATATATATATATATATATATATATATATATATATATATATACACATATACATATATCAAGCTGTCAAAGAGAATTAGATAAGTGTTGTTGCAAATTTATTACTTAGGCATATGGAGTTGGAAAAAAAAAAGTACCTTTTTTTTTCCAACTCCACACACCTGAGAGTTGTTCTCTAAATTTTCTCTAAAAATTTCAGAGAACGACTCTGACTCCAATTCCGACTGCAAAGCAAATTTTTTGAATATTTTTTTGAATTCTTTAAAAAAATATTATGCAATGATTAAAAAAAATCTTTTTTTCAAAATATATGAAAATTTGTTTAAAGGTTAAATAAATTGTACATGCACATGCAATACAGAGAAGTTTTACTATTTGAGTCAGAATTGCGATTTTGTTTAGCAACTCTGACGCCACTTTCAATGTTGCAACTCCAACTCTATGACTACGCAACCCTTTCAATGTTGCAACTCCAACTTACCTGATTGCTCTGATCTTTAAGAACATTGCAATTCTATTTGTATATATATATATATATATATATATATATATATATATATATATATATATATATATAATATATATATATATATATATATATATATATATATATATATATATATATATATATATATATACATTTATCAAACATAGATCATCCTAGTCATATTTTAAAAATCTGGAAAGTTGGTTGAATAAAATATCCGGAAAAAATGCAAAATTTGTCTTCCCTTATTTTCTTTTTAATTTCGCTTTTAGATAAGTTGCTTTTACTTTTTTTTTGACACTTTCATAATTTTTCTATGATTGATGAGTGAAAAAGATTAAAAAACAAATATATTACAAAAATATATACCTCAACTTGCATATATTGAAAATGTTTTGAATATCCTGAAAAACTAATAGTTGAAAAGTTTAGCGTTGCAACAGCATCTAACATCAAATATCCAATACTCAGCAGAATCAAATCGATGGAGAAAATTTTTTTTTTTCCTTTCAGAGTTGTATTTCGAATAGTATACCACATTTATCAATACACACACATGCACAAGCATACACATACACACACACACACACACGCATCCACACATACATATATATATATATATATATATATATATATATATATATATATATATATATATATATATATGTATATATATATATATATATATATATATATATATATATATATATATATATATATATATACATATATATATATATATATATATATATATATATATATATATATATATATATATATATATATATATATATATATATATATATATATATATATGTATATGTATGTGTATATATATGTATATATATATATATATATATATATATATATATATATATATATATATATATATATATATATATATATATATATACATATATATACATATATATATATATATATATATATATATATATATATAATGAATATGTATACATTATGTAAACATTATAATATAATGTATAAATCATGTATAAATAATTATATATACATCCCACAATGGAACAATTATTAAATTAAACGAAACAATACAGTAACGAGGTATCAACATAAGTAATAATCTTAAAATTGTATATACAACCCATCAAATTCATCAAACCCATCAAAGGAAAAATCATCAAATTGAATGAAACAACACGTGAACAACAAAATATATACAATTTATAAATTTACTTATTTTTACAGCAAGATATTACAAATCTTTGCATATATGTATATGTATATATATATATATATATATATATATATATATATATATATATATATATATATATATATATATATATATATATATATATATATATATATATTCACATTATAATTGTAACTTAGTTACACTTAATAACTAAACTAAATTTTCTTTAATTTAAAAATTGTATAGATTATAGTTTATAGATCATAGAGTATAGAATATTGAAAATTGAAAAATATTTTTAAACGATAAATAACTAAACAAAATTTATAATATCATTATTAATATCAACCAAAACAAGTAGACATTTTTAATTAACCGAGTTAGAGCATAATATTGTATGCGCCAAGTTGTTTATATAAATTTTTTAACTTATTTTCAAGGTAATTAGGACGTCTAATGTAGGTCTTAGCGACGTCAATAGGACGTCTAAATACGGAAATCCTAATATCGTCTTTATATTAACGTCACTTTGACGTCCTAACAAAGACGTCTCTACCGGACGTCTTTAGGACGTCCTAATTTGGTCTGAGACGTCGCGACCTAGTTAAGACGTCCGAAAGACATCTGATTGACGTCTGTGCCCGCTGGGTATATATATATATATATATATATATATATATATATATATATATATATATATATATATATATATATATATATATATATATATATATATATGTATATATATATATATATATATATATATATATATATGTATATATATATATATATATATATATATATATATATATATATCATATATATATATATATATATATATATATATATATATATATATATATATATATATATACATATATTTATGTATATATATATATATATATATATATATATATATATATATATATATATATATATATATATATATATATATATATATATATATATATATATATCGACATGCTGTTTCTCTTTCTGTAAGTTCATCAGGAAGATGATGATGAACCTATATACCTTATATCTAAAATTGCCAATATTTTTTGCAAATTTTTTATTTTAATGTCATAATACTTTTGTTATTTTTTGGCTTTTCTGGTACTTCAAGTTTTCTGATAATATTAGAAGACCTTGCTTTAAATGCGAATTTCAGTGATCGCTTGATCATTTGGTATATAATATTGATATTATAAAATGCTATAAGTTAAGTTTATTTTGTATCAATAGTAAAGGATCCATTCGGAACGCCGTCTCGTCCGATTTTTCTTGGTTTTTCGCAGTTTCGGAGTTCGAGAGAAATCGAGAAACTTTGGACGGAACTTCGACAAAGGTAAATAAGTTTAGAAAGTATCAATTTTTTATTCGTAAAATAATTAAAATCTTATTTTATTTCAACGCTGCTTTTACAATAGTTCTTGTTGTTTTCAAAATGTAAGTTTTCTCTTTGTTCAATAACAACACTAATCTTCATTGTAAAGCAATTGGTAATGCACATGGGGCCAGGTGGTGGCGGTGGAAAAAATCTTAAAAAAAGTTTATTTTATTAAAAACCATATAATAAAACGTAGTTATACTTTTCAATTGTACTATTTCAAAAACTCTTTTGAGTATAATAGAATTGTTTTAATAATAGTATCTTTTTAAATCCAGAAAAATCAATTGCGGTATAATAAAATGTAATATATAATAAAATACCTTTTTTTTTGTCAGAAAAAGCATGAAGTTTTTAGTTTTTAAACAAAGATATAGTTAACGGTAACTTCTAAAATTTTATGTGTTTTTGCTAATAATTTTAGAGTTTTTCAAATTACCTGGGCTAGCTATAATCACCTATAAGTAATATTCAGCTGTAGCAACCAATAAGCAATACCTCAAACTTATAATGTTTCAGTAATATAGATAAGCATAGAAAGTAGAGATAGCTATAACAACCAATAAGCAATTTCTTAAACATAAAATGTTTTAGTAATGTATATAATTTATATATGAGAGTAAGTGTAAAGTTATAAGTAGTAAGTTAAAGTTATGAAATTATATTTACCTACTAATATTCTAGTGATATTACTAGAAACTAACTCTAGGTAGATTATAAAACTGTTTTCAAAAATCGTATAAGAATCATAGCTTAGACAAGTTTCACCATCTGTTTTATAGTTTGTTACAATGCACAGTGGGTCAGAATTGTCTAAAAATGGAAAAACTATTTACGGGTTAAATATAGACATATGATACATGTTTATAGAGGTTTTTGGGGCCAAGGATTAATTTTTTTGCTCTATTTAATTTTTGGAATGGTCATGACCACACAAGTAGTTATTTTAGGGGTTGTCAAGTGTGGTCAAGGGGTTCCTCAATAGTTTTTAAATTAGATAGGACATGTTATATATCTAAATATAGGCAACTGCTATCAGGAAATTTAAATCTGGGCATATTCGATCTTTGCCGAAATTCGAAAATTTGCCGACTGCCAATATGATGTTTGCCGACTAACTGTTTAAACTAACGACTAACCCTATATCGAAAGGGTCGACATTTGCCGACTAACTAGTCAAAAAGGGTCGAATTTGCCGACTAAGGGTCAAATTTGCCAACTAAAAATCATTGATGGGGGGTGTTACTTGCCGACTAAAAATCATTGATAGGGGGTGTTACACCCCACACCCCCTTCGCGCCGGCCTTATATATATATATATATATATATATATATATATATATATATATATATATATATATATATATATATATATATATTTATATATATATAGTACCTTCTCAAATTATTAGACTCAAATAAGAAATGTGCAGATTTTGTTAGTTTTTTGGATTTTCTTTGAAAGGTAGGGATTAACGGTGTTTAATTTTTGTTGTTTATGTGCAATTTAACTTCCTGTCATTCATTTTTTGTTTTTAATTAGGAAAATTTATAAAATATATTTAATTTTGAATAATATTTTCAACTTTATAAAAGTTATGGTAAGTTTAAATTATATAAAATTAAAAACTTTCAGTTAATTTTGTCTGTCATAACTTAATTTATATGTCTTCTTTAGGGACTACATTATTTTAGACTGCCTTTACAATTTAAATAATAAATTTTCAGTTGTTTTTGTTTTTAAGTTGTTTTTTTTTTTTAATTGTGCTGTCATATAATAACTTAATTAATTTTGGAGTTGTTTTAGGATTAATATTGGGTAAATCTAGTGATGTTTCCTCTAGTAAATATTCAAAATTAACTTTCTGCAAGAAACAAATTACATCCAAAGAAATATTGCCAAAGTTATCAAAGTTATCATGGCTACAGTCAGAGGAACAAATTCTAAACTTAAAATGGGGATTAAATTAGAAGCGTAGAAAACAGAGTCCTGTGGCAGAAAAAGAGTTACAAGTGCTAGAGATCACAGAAAAATAAAAAAAGTTATTGAATAAAATCGTAAGATACCATCAATAAAACTGAAAGTTGGTTTAAAAGACCAAGGAATACAAAAATTCACTTGAATCTTTAAGAAGGAGAAGTTATGAGTTTGGATATAAGTGTAGAAAGCCATTGAAGAAGCTGTAATTTACACTTGCAATGATTAAAAAACTTCTTGCATGGGCTAAGAAGCACTCCTTTTTTTTCTCAAGATGACTAGAATAAGGTAAATTTTCTCCTGAAACATAAGCAATAAATATTTTAATACTACAAGTGTTTAGAAGATATTTTTGCATTAATATCATATCCCATTTCATTTTATTAATATTTGATATATTTAAAACATCAATATTTATTGCTTTAGTTAGGTTGAACACAGCAATGAATCTACCTTTGAGACTTTGGAAAAAAAAGCCACATTCGTCTGTTGCAGACCAAAAGAACAACAAAACAAAAATGTACTGTAAACACTGTAAAGCATCCAGGGTTTATAATGGTTTAGTCATGCATATCAAGCAGGGGTCAGTCAAAGTCTTTATATTGTACATGGGATGATGAAACAAGATAGTACAATTCTGTCTGACAGACTAGTTTGATTCAACAGATACAAGAGTGGTTTCCTAATGGTAAAAAAAGTAGTTTTCATGCAAAATAGTGCTCTTTACTGAACTGCAAAATCCAAAAAGACCTTTCTTGCTGATGATAGTATTGAGCTACTTGATTGGCATGGCAATTCTCCAAATATGAACCCTATTGTAAATCTGTGGGTGTTTGTAACATGCAAAGTGCTGACTTTGCATTTAACAAGTAAACAGAAACTCACAAAACGACTAATCGAAGTATGGCATCGAGATCCAGATGTTAAAGCATTGACCTCAAAGTGAGTAAATAGTATGCCAAGGCGTATCAAAGCTCTTTCAAAAGGAGTCAAAAGGAATCATCACCAAGTAATAAGTTTCATAATATGCTTGTTATATATC